GCAGATTCATTCAGAGAGCACATTACTTCTCTTATGTGGGCAAAGTTTCCTAACATGGACAAATCCACAGGTACTTGGCAGCGCCATATCCTACCTCTACAAAACATACTTTAAAACCCGACAACCTCATTGCACCTGAAAATGAGCAGAATAAAATCCAGTAATCTCAGAAAGGCAGGAGCTATCAGAGATACACAGCTAACAGTAAATGGCCAGAAAATTTAGTGCTGACCTGAGATAGAAGAACCTTCAGCAGACAGATACTATATACCATCCTTATTGAGAATTTCAAACTATGGGAATAAGGACTAAATCGCTAACAGTGCGTGTTACCTCCAACTGTAACCATTGCGATACTATAACGGCAAAAAGACTTCTCTACACTTCCTTGCATAGATCCACTTTACATAAATCCACTCCATTAAAAAGGATAAATAGAAAATTAAGATGAAAGTGCTCTACTTGTCAAGAAAATGCGCGGAAAGATTTAAAATGAACTCGACTTTAAAACAGGAAGAATAACTAACGCCTATTCCCAGTATAACTGATCATTTTACACATAGTCTGTGACACCAGAAGTGCACAAGGGCTTAGCCAGTTTAGTCTAATCTGCTTCTCAAAAGAGAAACCCGAAAAAGGGTATAGGCCCGTGGAAGTCGTCGAGCATCACTTTAATACTGGCTGCCATCTAACTGCTGCACGAGAAACATGATAATAAGATCATTGTCTCTCTGGCCTTCTCTTGTTAGGTTGCAGGCTCTCACTGAAAAGGGCACATTTAGATAGTTAAACGACATACCATCAATGAGGGTTCGGAGTGGGCGTCACCCAATCCCTTCCTTCATATTAGCACAGCCAAGTCCTTATTCATAGTGCCTCTGATTGGTCTTGAAAATCTAACATTCTTGGCACAAAGAAAGCATTTTAATTAAAAACTTTTTGCTCCAGCAGACCTAAATGGATGGCACAAAGCACTAATCACCCTATGATTAGGAACTCCTCTGACTTTTTAGGTGCTGAGATTATTCCAGTCCAAAGCAACCCTTCTAAATCTCTACATAGTATCTAACATTATTATAACCATTTACAGGAGCATTTTGTCAATTCAGGCTGTGTATTGTAACTTTTAAGCTAATATTATTTTTTAAGATATGGTAGAGTGTTCACTGCTTTCATTCATATTATGTAATACCGTACAGTCAAATACATTGATAACTTTTCATTATAAACAACTGGGCTAAACTGGAAACTCAGAACCTGAGGATTGAATAATTTTAGGAAAAAAAGTATCTACAAAGTTACAAAAATGAAAACATCAGTGGAAGTTAATACTAAAACCAAGTTATGCACAATGCTTATAGTAGCGTTCCACAAATGAGAACTTTCGAAAAGCTGTTAGCCAGTTTCATAACACTCACAGAATTACTCACAAACCTAACGTTACGCCTGCCACCAGGCTAAAGCATGTGCGAGCGAATGGCTTCTAGGCTACAAACGTACAGCATATTAATTGTATAATTAACTGTGTGTAACACAATGAGTATTTTATATCCATAATAAACAGTAAAATACAATAGTACATCTTATGTACCACCACCATATATTACCATTTCATCGAAATGTTAATTAGAGCAAACTGTAGAACACTAAATTATGTTCATTGAACAGTTTGGATTACTTCACGGCTAACCGTTGTTACTCTTACCTCCTCGACTTACCCCTTTATCCTCAAGGTTTTGCAAAATAATACCTCAGACGCCCACCCTGACATCAATTTTACAGATATCTTACAAGACTACATATCAAATGGTAATGACATGTTTATAGTGAACTAATGTCAGAATAAGTCTTTATACATAGGTTTGCAAGTAAAGTAGTAAGCTGACAGTTTCTGCCAAACTTTCTCATTGAAATTTGTCTTTCTTGGTAATAGACTGGGTAGCCGCTGATGTGGCCACAATCAGATAAAACTTGACTGTCATAAATAGGAAATAAAATATCTTACTTGTGATTTCTGGGTGTGTGTCTACTTTTCCTACTGCTTTTGCACTCGTGCCTTTAGAATTTTATCTGTTCGGAATTAATTGCTCTTCAAAAAACTTTTCAGTTATTCTCAGGCTTCTCAGCATTGGATATACTCACAGTCCGAGTGAAAAATGTTGAGGTACAGATACAGAATAGGAAGCAGAGAATCAGCTAGTAAGTGTGCTTCTTAATCAGTTTTGTGTCAGCAAAGCCTTTTGAAAAAAACTTAACGAAAGCTGTGCACCCTCCTCAGGTACACAAAACATACAAATTGATAGAAGTTTCGTAGATTTCACCGTCACCCAAATAACCCTGGCTAGAAAATAAGTAATGACTGTTGGAACCTTATGTCCTGCAACTAGGATGACCTGTTAATATTTTTGAGCCCCTGTTTTTTATCTACATAATAATATCACAGCTCATTTCCTCTTCATAGATATGTTAGGGATAACATGAAAATTTTCATAGAAACACTTGAAATTAAATATTATTAGAACAAATCCTGTTATAATAATAGAGATCACACATACCATCACCCTATGGTTGAATGAATTTTGCCTAAAAGTAGATCTTTCCTTACTTGATTTTAGGAATCTTTTTATTATGTACAGATGATTTCATCGATGCATTTTTTTTTTTTTTTTTTTTTTTTTTTGGTGACAAGTCTCACTGTGTTGCCAGCTAGAGTGCCATGGGTGCCAGCCAGGTCATAGCAACCTCGAACTCCTGGGCTCAAGTGATCCTCCTGTCTCAGCTCCCGAGTATCTGGACTATAGGCACGTGCCACCATGACCGGCAATTTTTTTTTTTTTTTTAGTTGTTGGCTAATTTCTTAAATCCTAGTAGAGACATGGGTCTTGCTCTTGCTCACCGCGCTGGTCTTTGAACTCCTAAGCTTAGCAATCCTCGCCTTGGCCTCCCAGAGTGCTAGTATTACAGGCGTGAGCCACCATTTCCCAGCCAATGCATATTTTTATCTATAACAGGATTTTATATGTGTATATAAATAAGTGTAACACTGTTTTTCAGATGCTTGGTTTGCTATATTAATGGTATAGACATCAAAATTGTGAAGCATATTTTGTGAATAAAGATTAGAACTCTTAAAATAGAAAATAGGGGGAGTAGGAGCTAAATGCTGGTTACACCACCATAGGGACGTAAAGGACATTGACTAAAAGAGGGGAGTCCAAGGAGGGGGTTGAGGAATAACTTACCAACAGTACAGAAATACTGTCCTGCCGGTGGGCACACTGAAGCCCTGACTTCAGCATTATACAGTGTATCCATTGTAACAAATACATTTGCACTCTAAATTTTTGAAATTAAAAGCAAAGAGATAATTTAGGGGAAATTTCTCATATGTGGATGAATGAAGCTTTGGTTCCTATGGGGTTGATACAAGATACAATTAAAGATAATTAGCTGGTTTTAAGGAAAACTCTCAAAAGCCACTTTGTAAATGGTGGTAATCTTGTTAAGTTGCATTAAAACAAATCTAAAACATCAAAATGAGTATTACACTACAAATTTGTACCATATTCGGGTGTTTGTGGACAGAAGAGTAGAAAAAGGAGAAAGAGGGTCTCTGTAACTTCTTTTCCAATGGATTTTTATGATTGGTTTGGTTTAATTCGACGAAAACGCTATTCGTGAAATGCCTGGCTCTTAGAAATGAGCAGAGATTTCTGCAATATTATTTCAGTATTGACATATGATCAGAATCTCAGGCTGATGTCATTTTTAAGAATTTTTTGATATTTATAAACTTTAAATTTCAGGTCTCTATTTTTAGTGCTAATAAACTATATTACTTAAATTTCCCAGGTTCTCTATTTCCATTTGTAGTGTGCAGTATTATATTCTAACCAAAGATTATTGGGGGTATTTTCTTAATTTCTACAATGTCTTTGGGTTCTCACTTGATTTTTCTTATAAAGCATCAATAAGCTAACTATGTGTTGGGGTTTTAATTACTTTTTTTAACCCGATGTGTTATTTGAAACCCATGTGGTGAGTGTTTTAAAATATTAATATCCTTGCTATCTTAGGATGCACATTCACAAGGTGAGGTGGTATCATGCTTGGAGAAAGGCTTGTGAAGGAAGCAGAAAAAGAGAGCCCAAAGTCCAAGTTTCTGAACCCTGCAGAAAGCCATTTCCGCGTGGCTGAGCTCTCCTCCGATGACTTCCATTTGGACCGGCATTTATATTTTGCTTGCCGAGATGATCGGGAGCGTTTTGTGAAATGTGAGTTAGCTCAGAAGGTTTTCTTCTTTTATCCTTTTCTTTTCAAATAATTTTCAAATACTCTATTTTTTTTTAGGCAGAGTCTCACTTGTTGCCCAGGCTAGAGTGAGTGCTGTGGCATCAGCCTACTCATAGCAACGTCAAACTCCTGGGCTCAAGCGATTCCTACTGCCTCAGCCTCCCAAGTAGCTGGGACTACAGGCCATGCGCACCATGCCTGGCTTAATTTTTTCTACATATATTAGTTGGCAATATAATTTCTTTCTATTTATAATAGAGATGGGCGTCGCTCTGCTCAGGCTGGTTTCGAACTCCTGACCTTGAGCAATCCACCCGCCTGGGCCTTAAATACTCTATTCTAAGATTAAAAGCATGACACCTACCTGTCTCACATGTATACTTTTTCCTATATAATATCTTTCCATTTGAAAGGATGCCAGTTTTTAATTAATTAATTAATTAATTTTCCGGCATATATATAGAAAAAATTAGCCAGGCCTGGTGGCACATGCCTGTAGTCCCAGCTGCTTGGGAGGCTGAGGCAGTAGGATTGCTTGAGCCCAGGAGTTCAAGGTTGCTGTGAGCGAGGCTGGCACCATGGCACTCTAGCCTGGGCAACACAGTGAGACTTGTCACAAAAAAAAAAAAAAAAAAATGCATCGATGAAATCATCTGTACATAATAAAAAGATTCCTAAAATCAAGTAAGGAAAGATCTACTTTAGGCAAAATTTCAATTCAACCATAGTGTGAATGTATGTGTGTATTCTATTTTATTATAACAGGATTTGTTCTATAATATATTAATTTCCAAGTGTTTCTATGAAAATTTTCATGTTATCCCCTAACATATCTATGAAGAGGAAATGGAGCTGTGATATTTATTATGTAGATGAAAGAACAGGGGCTCAAAAGTATTAAGCAGGTCATCCTAGTTGCAGGATATAAGGTTCCCAACAGTCCATTACTTATTTTTCTAGGCCCAGGGTTAATTTGGGTGAGCGGGTGAAATCTACAAAACTCTTACAATTTATATGTGGCTTTTGTGTACCTTAGGAGGGTGCACAGCTTTCGTTAAGTTTTCAAAAGGCTTGCTGACACAAAACTGATTAAGAAGCACACTATACTAGCTGATTCTCATGCCTTCCTATTCTGTATCTGTACCTCAACATTTTTCACTCCGACTGTGAGTATATCCAATGCTGAGAAGCCTGAGATAACTGAAAAGTTTTTTTGAAGAGCAATTAATTCCAAACAGATAAAATTCTAAGGCACAAGTGACAAAAAGGACAGTGAGAAAAGTAGACACACACCCCAGAAATCCAAAGTAAGGCCGATTTTTTCTTCCTAATTTATGAGTGACAGTCAAGTTTTTATGATTGTGGCCCACTCAGGCAAGGCCTACCCAAGTCTACTTCCCAAAGAAGCAACAAATCTACAATGATAAAGATTTGGACAGAAACATGTCAGTCCACTTACTATTTACTGACAAAACTATGTATACAAGAAATTATTATAGACATTATGTTACACTATAAACAATGTCCTATACCAAATTTTAGCAGCTTGTAATAACTTGAAGTACTCTGATTTAAAATGTGATGGTCAGAGTGGGCGTCACTGAGAGGTATTGTTTTGCCAAAGACCTTGAGGAGGAAAGAGAGTAAGCTATGAGGAGGATCTAAGCAATAACAAGGTATAGCGCTGAAAGTAACTCCCATCAACCTGTTATGAACAGTAATTTAGTTGTATCATATACAGTTTTGCTCCATATATTAACATTTCGATGAACAATAGATCACATATATGATGGTGGTCCCTTAAGATTACACTATTGTATTTTTACTAAAACTTTTCTATGTTTAGATATAAAAATACTACCATTGTGTTACAACAGTCTACAGCATTAAGTACAATAATATGCTGTACAGGTTTGTAGCCTAGAAGCAATACGCTACGCCACATGGCCTATAGCCTGGGTGTGACACAGGCTACACCGTCTAGGTTTGTGAAGTACATTCTGTGATGTTCCTGAAACTGGCTAACAACGCATTTCTCAGAAAGCAACTGTAGCATCACACATTGGTTTTAGGTCATAGTATCACTTCCACTAGATATTTTCATTTATTGTAACTTTCAGATAGATAACTTTTTTTCAAATAAAATTACTTCAATTCCTCAGAGTCTCTGAGCTTTTCCAGTTTAGCCCAGTTGAGTTATATAACTGAAAAGTATACAAATATTTGACTGTACGGCTAATTACCAAATATGAATGAAAGCAAGATGAACTATATACCTACACATTATCTATAAAAAAAATAAAATCACTTAGCTTAAAAAAAGTTAACAATACATAGACCTGACATATGAACAACAAATGATCCTGTAAATGGACTTATAATAATGTTCGGAATACTATGTAGAGATTTTAGAAGGAGTAAGCTTTGGAACTGGATATAATCTCCAACACCCTAAAGAAGTCAGAGGAGCTTCCTGAATCATCAGGGTGGCTTAAGTGCTTTTGTGCCATTTCTAGAGTCTGCTGGGAAGCAAAAAAGTACATTCTTTATTAAAACTGACTGTTCTTTAGCTGCCAAGCTAATAGAGCTTTCAAGATCAACTCAGAGTCACCTTATGATAAGGGACTGGGCCCTGTGCTGATATGAAGGAAAGGGCATTAGGTGACAGCCAACAGTACCCAGCAATAAGCCCTTCATTTGAACTGGTATGCTCAGTTCTAGAATTCTAACACCATGCCCCCTTTTGTCAGTGACAGACGCCTGCAAACCATGAACAAAGAGAAGGCAGAGAGACAAATGGATCTTATTTTCTGTCATGTTTCCTGAACAGCAGATTAATGAGCAGCAGTAATTAACAGCTGATGCTCAGACGACCTCTCCCACTGGCATCTGTCACTTTTCAGGAGTTTCTCTCATTTTTGCTGAACAGACAGATTCAGAATAAACCTGGCTAAGCCTCCATTGTGACCTTCTGTTCACCAGACTAGTAAGTCTAAAAATAAGATCAGATATAACTGGGGAAAGTAGCTAGGTAGTTATATTCTCTCCTGTCTTTATTAAAGTCAGTTCTTCTGTAAAATCACATTTACAGAGCAATTTTCTTCTGACAAGCTAGAAGCACTTTCACATATCTTAAAATTTTCTAATTTAGATACCTCTCTTTATAGAGGGGGAGCTAAATAATTTTTTTATGGTAACAGTGAGGTGTATGCAGAGGAAGATTAGAGAATTCAGGTCTCTCCTTTGCCAGAGGCACATTATAGGTAATCAGCAACTGGTTTAATATTGTGAAGGTAACACGCCACTCTTAGCAGATATTAATTCCTCTACTTCCCCATACAGTATTGAAACATTCTATTACAAACAAATAAAGTGCATTAACAGGTCAATTGGTCTTAGCTCTTAGTGCTGAACAAGTTTCTCTAATTTCAACTTCAAGGTCACTCCAGCCCTAAAATTTTCCCATGCCAGTTATACAGCTTCTCATGTGCCAAATTTTAATGGTCCCTTTGGAGAAGCCATAGTAAGATACCTTTTCTCCAAGCCGAATGCTGCCACATTTCAGAATGTTGATGTCATTTTTGCAGTCATCCATGAAGCCACAGATTAAACGGTAATCACTGAAAATGATGGCCGTCATCTTGGTAATGTATTGGTGACACTGATACTCAGTGATGTTGCCTCGGTGATCCACCAAGCAAGAAACCATGTAACCTTTTCCAACTGGTTCATCAGCACATTCTTTAATCTGCTCAAAAGAAAGTAACTGTTTTACACAAGTGTTCTGTGATTGTACCAAACAACCTTTATGAAGAAGAAAAAGTCTGATATTTTCCTGTTAATTTCCCACCTCTTTACTTGGGAGAAAAAGAAGAACATTTAGAAATACATTCAAGGAAAATATTTGGAGATATATTCATTTAAGAAAAAAATAGTGTGTCATCCCTACTCAGATTGTTGTACCTTCTAGAAAATACCTGATAACTGTGTTTTGCAAGAAAACACATACATATCCAAATGCTTAGGAAAAACTCACTTCTAAATGGAGTAAAAAGAGCTTTTAATATCTATAGCTTTAGCATGGTCCTAATGACAAGTACTTTTAACTGTGTAAAGAATGCAAGTGGTCAGTGACAAGATGAATCCAGGCAGTAGGTGTGAAAAACAGGTGCAGAAGTGAAGTCCAGCTGCACATCCCAAGCCAAGCCACACAGCAATTATCAGGAGGTAAACATAATGGCCAAGGAGAGAGATAAGGGAAGGCATTCTTGACATGACATTAATGTGTTCTGAATTAACTATGGATTTGAACATGTGTTTCTGAAGTTAGTAGAACCCAAGCTTAACCACTGTGGTCTGGAACAGAAATATGTATAAAATGATGTTCAGTGCAGTCTGCAAGAAGTTTGGGAAGAGGAAGACCACTGCAAACCTAGTTTGGGTGGTTTTTGACATATGATCTAGTAGATGAAGCACAAAGTGATTCCAAATGATTAGTCTTCCTGCACCCCAAACCACAAAATACTAATGAGCCGGGGCAAGATGACTCATGTTTACAATTCTAACACTTTGGGGAGGCTGAAGTAGGAGGGTTGCTTGAGGCCAGGAGTTCAAAACCAGCCTGAGCAGCATAGAGAGACCCTGTCTATACAAAAGATATTAATAGAAAAATTAGCCTGGCATGGTGGTGCAAACCTGTAGTCCCAAATACTCAAGAAACTGAGGCAGGAGGATCACTTTAGCCCAGCTACAGCCCAGGGGTTTGAGGCTACAATGAGCTATGGTGACACCACTGTACTATAGCCAGGGCAACAGAGTGAGACGTTATCTCAAAAAAAAAAAAAAAAAAAAAAAAAAAAGAGGAAAGAGCTAAATGTAAATGTTTGTTTTGAATATAAATAAGAAAAGAGCATTTTTTTTGGTTTTTGAAACCAATAGAGACCATTTTTCCCCACTACATCATCTATCCTAAGTCGGTACACAGGGCAAAATAAATACCACCTCCTTTTCCAAAAGGTGCTGGTGAAGGATATGCCACACAGGGATTATCCTATGGGCAAATAGGTCTCCTCATGGCTAACTCCAGTACTAAGTCCAGACCAAGTCAAAAACTCAGTTCAAGACAGTGTTTACTTTTAAAGAAGAAAATCTGAGAATTTAAGTAAATAGTCTCATACTGCATTGAGAGGCAGCAGAGATCTTCAACAGTCAAGATGAATGCAATGCTTTTAGCCTAACATTGAGCAATTTTTTTGTGATGCCTAAAAAATGTATTTCCAGGAAAAGTTTTTTTGAACAAAAAACAGAGCTAAGTTTGAAAATTAATAGGAGGAATAGCTGCTTGAAAATCCCAGCTTTTGGCAGGGCAAGGTGGCTCACACCTGTAATCCTAGCACTCTGGGAGGCCGAGGCAGGAGGATTGCTCAAGGTCAGGAATTTGAAACCAGCCTGAGCAACAGCGAGACCCTGTCTCTATTATAAATAGAAAGAAATTAATTGGCCAACTAACATATATATAGAAAAAATTAGCTGGGCATGGTGGTGGCATGCCTGTAGTCCCAGCTACTGAGGAGGCTGAGGCAGCAGGATTGCTTGAGCCCAGGAGTTCGAGGTTGCTGCGACCTAGGCTGACGCCACGGCACTCACTCTAGCCTGGGCAACAAAGCCAGATTCTGTCTCCAAAAACATAAATAAATAAAATAAAAATATATATAAAAAAATAGCCAGGCATGGTGGCACATGCCTGTAGTCCCAGCTACTTGGGAGACTGAGGTAGAAGGATTGCTTGAGCCCAGGAGTTTGAGGTTGCTGTGAGCTAGGCTGTGAGCTAGACCATGGCAGTCTAGCCCGGGCAACAGAGGGAGACTCTGTCTTAAAAAAAAGAAAGAAAAAAGAAAATCCCAGCTTTTGTAATTCAACCACAAAAAACACTAGATAAAAATCAGAACAAGTGGCAGACACCTGGCTTTCTAAACCTAATGAAGTGAAGCATTCATACAGGCTCTAATATTAGGCAACCAACAGTTTAAAAATCTGAACAAAAACCAAGAGCATTTTGAATCGGAGCTCCAATAAGAAAAACTAAATGGATATTTAGTTGTAATAACTTAAGATTTTACTGAAACATAGAAATGTAGCACTATAGGTATTTCAGTTCATTATCAATTATAAGAGGGTGTAGTGTTTGAATGAGAAGTTTATGATTTTCTTCAGCCATTCTGCTGGGTAGCATTTTTTCCTTCTATCTCCTAAACTTCTAAGATTAACAGCAAAAAACCCCATCATTAAATCATCAACATATTTCAGAATGGGAGTAAACTCTGAAGTGGCTGGGGAGCAGATTCATATGGGCCATTAGAAAAACACTGTAGTCATTTTATTTTTTGACACAAGACAGGAGGAAAGCAGGCAGTATTTAGCTTAATCCTGGAGAGTAAAAAAGGTTGATTTGCAGTTTGCAGATACTCTTTGAAGTTGTTTTTCTCCCTGGAAGTAGGATTCCAAAATAAAAAAAGAAGATAGAAGGAAATGCAGAATAAAATGTTTTGCTGGTAACTATGTTCTTCTTGACATTTAATTTTCTTGACTCCAGTATATTCTCTCTGTAGGAAGGGAAAAGTCCTTGTTATTCAATCTTGTACAAAGCCAGAATACCCCAAGAGGTCACAGGAGACCATCATTATTTATATGTTATAAGGAAGCCAACCTAATGCAAAGAGTGAAATTATTCTAGTGAATAGGTATATACTCTGAACTAAATTTCCACAGGGAAATCAAACTGGTGTATATTTAATGGTGACACAAAAATACGGCAAAACAAACACATGTATATATATATATGCTGATGTGTCTTTTAAAATAAAACCACTTCTAATTGGATAGTTCTATAATATAATGGGAATATACAAACATGTAAATTTCAAGTCTGGGAATCATTTCATTAGTATTTCTTTTTTTTTTTTTTCAAGAGTGAGCAAGATGAAACATTAGTATTTCTTTTTGTTATTAAACAAATACCCTTGCCTTTGATATTTTAAAGTTAGACGCTTAGTAATATAGCTAGCTAAGGCAGTTTGAGATACAGAATATTAAAGCTAGGAGCTGAAGATCAATTTTTCAAAGATGCTATTCTATTCTGAAGCCCTAAGGTAAATATGAAGGGTCACTGCTTTAAAGGAATAAAACATAACTGATCCAGCATTAGAAGATTTAAGAAAATAGGTTCTATTAATACAAGACCCCGTATGATGTAAGTGAGGAACATGAGCTAATGGCTTATGTGGGTTGGATAGGGTCATCCTTAAGAGCTCTGTAGAAAGTGGCCCTGACTTAAGTCACCAATAGGGTCAACTTGAGGACAGATTAATATGCTGCAAGAACTCTGACTGCTAACTTTGGGGTAGAAAAATAGCAACTGTTTTCTCTGTGATTCTCATACTTTGGTATGCAGAAACTCTGGCTTATTGGAGTTTCTACTGCTGATTAAAAAAAAAAAAACCACTCCAAGAAACAAAAAGAAATTCCAAATACCACAATTCTCACTAATATTATTTGTTGTTTACACTGAGCCAAGATAAACAATTAAAAATTTTCCATTAGCATCTATACAGCTTTATACATTTTCATTAACTGTTTTTGTCTTTATGCTCAATATCAATTTATAACAATATAACAATCATACCCTTAACCTTTTTAACACTAACTCTTATTTGAAGTATATGTCTTTGTGGTTCAATTGATCCAACTACATAGCTGAAACACTCGGGAACATCGACAGGCCTCCTGTAACTATTGTGATATGCTTCAGACATAGCAGGTTATACAATGTATGAGGGCAGCACTGATAAACCTCAGCAGTTTTACTCCCTGTTTGGGGACCAACAGAACCTGATTTCCAACTGTCTCAATCAATAGTATCCCACTGTAAGTATAGATGGATGTTAACAAAAAGAGTCTAATTACATCCCTCTTCCTATCTTCCAACCAAGACGATGTGAATTCCAAGAAAAGTAAAGTAAATTCCAAGTAAAGTAAAGTAACTGACTCATTCCTCTCATAATGACTGGTCTGGTCAACAGATGTAATTTTCTCTTCTAAGTCACTGAATATGCACAAAATTCTTTCACAACTTACCTCTGTTATGGTAGATTTGCAGACCTCTCTGGCCACAGATTCAAATTTGGGATCTGTAGTTAGGTTCAGCTTATAATTCCACAACAACTAGGTATAACAGGGGAAAAAAACAAAGAAAAAACTTCTAGTTAGAATAGTATGAAATTTATCATCAACAGGTACTTTAAATGACAACAACCAACTATACAGAGTCAGGTAAAGCATATTCACATTTCGGATAATAGAAAGTAAGATAAAATGCCATCATAATTATAGATAAAAGGAAAAATATGTAGACAAAAATAAAAGCACTATCATTCAGACATACTTTTTTCTGTTTTAGTAAAGGACAAAATTTTTCAAAACGCATTAAAAATCATAAAAAAGTCAAGAAAAAGATTAAAAATTATAATACCTCATAAGGTTTTCACAGAAAATACAAACAGGTTATATAAGCCAAATTCTGCTTCAACCAAAAGGTCTAACCCAGAAGCTCAGATTTGGTGGGTTTAGTCTCAGATTTCACAATTAACAGTACCTTCATCAGTGAGTTTTATGAAAGAGAGCTGCACAAGATCTAGCTTCAGGGCATGTCTATCTTCATTCCTTTAAAAACCTTGACTTGACACAGATAACATACAGTTCACTTTATATAACTTTTAACATACCTTAAACTATAAAATATCTGAAGTCATTATTATTTATTTATAGGTGAGGACTAAATATTAGTTTATCTTTGCAGCTTCCATTAAAAATTTTCAATAAGTGATCTAATTTATGAACTGTAGCAAAAATGAGCCATTAAACGGTTCAAATGGGAAACAGCAGAGGTTTTGGATGATGTAGAACATGATGGGATTTTTGGGGGGAGTACAACCCTTTCTAACTACTATATTCTAAGACAAAAAATACAATAAATCATTGATTCAGTCACACATCTGCTTAGCACTTCTCGTGTTGACTAGAGTCTAATTTCAAGGACCTTCAAGATAGGCTATTGGAGGAAAAAGAAGCCAGTGTTTATTGAGTATGTACTATGTTGTGCTATTTCTGATGAAATCTAAAAGGTCAGCAGCAGTTAGCCAGATGAAAGGGGCAGGAAGACGACCGTTTTAAATAGATGAAACAGCATGCACAGGAGCAGGGGGTGTTAGAGGAACTGAAGGGCCAATGGAGGACTGACTGAAGGGCTGACTGGAGGGGCCAGATCAGAAAGCCCTTGTAGGCCACGTTTGAACTTTAACCCATGAGCACTGGGGAGTCACTGAAGGGAAAGTAAGGTGGTGACATGACCAGATCTGCTTTTTAGAAAACAGGCACATATAAAGTGCATTAGGAATGACACAGAAACAGTAGTCAATTCTGTATGAGTGCTCAGGAAGATTTGAAGAAATAAAACAAGGATGAGTAGGATTTCTTCTCCCCTCTCCTCAAAAAAATTTTAAGTAAAAACTTCTAATCTCTCAGCTATCATCAATCATCAAAAAGTGAGTCTTTAGGGGAAAAAAGAGGAGAATCTGGCTACCATCTGTAATGAAAGCTCCAAGAGCATGGGAATGCTGCCTTGTATCCCAAGTGCCTAGAAGAATATATGGGACACAATAGGCACTAATTGTGGACACTAATAGGCACAAAAATAATTTGTAATTAATATTTGCTAAATAGAACAAACAAACCTATACAATGATGAATGACAAATGCAACCCATGGGACATATGAAGCCAAATTGAAAATGGGTATAGGAAAAGCTTAGTTCCAACTGAACAAATTTTGGGCTTCCTGGCTTCCTAGAAGCAGAGATGAATTCAGTGATTCAAAAGACGGAGGGAGGGAGGGAGGGAGGGAGGGAGGGAGGAAAGAAGGAAGGAAAGAAGGAAGGAAGGAAGGAAGGAAGGAAAAGAAAGGAGGTCTAGTATCTCAAGGACTTACAACTGATTCCAGGTATGCAAAGGTAGAAAGGACAGAAAGAGTAATGGTAACTTATGGGAATCGCATGTAGTTAAGAATGGCTGGAGCTAAGGGTATGGAAGATGAGATGGGGGAAGGGATCAGGCAGGCAGGGGGGCAGATCACATTGAATATTACAGTTCTTTTTAAAGATTTTGAATTTCATCTCAAAGGAAGTGAGAGATTAATGGATAATTTTAACTAAAGAACTCAAAAGATCAACTCTGATTACCCTATGGGGAAGAGCAGAATTGAGGGTAAGATTAACAGACCAGTTAAGAGGCAAGAATTGATATAGATAGGAAAAGAAGGGATGTATTTGAGATATGTGGCATAAAGTCATTACAGAATGAAGGGGTGGGTGGAGTAGAAGAAAATTATTCCTTCACAGTCAAGCTTACCCTTCAATTTTTTAAATCAGAGCTATCTGTTTAGTCAAATAGTTCTATAAAGGTAGTTTGAAAATCAAAATGGGCCAGGCATGGTGGCTCACACCTATAATCCTTACACTCTAGGAGGCTAAAGAGGAAAGATCACTTGAGCTCAGGATTTTGAGACCAACGTGAGCAAGACCCTGAGTAAGACCCTGTTTCTACTAAAAAGAGAAAAAATTAGCCAGGTATGGTGCATGTCTATAGTCCTAGCCTCTCAGGAGGCTGAGGCAAGAGGATTGCTTGAGCCCAGGAGTTTGAGGCTGCAGGGAGCTATGGTGATGCCACTGCACTCTAACCATGGCAACAGAGTGAGACCCCATCTCTAAAAATAAAAAAATAAGCTTCAACAATGGTTTGCAAAATGTTTTTACGCTTCCTTTCATCAAATAATTGTTCCTCTTCTCCATCTCTAGTATTGTCCTCCTCATGGATCAATGGTTCTCAACTCTGGCTACACATTAGAAAGAACTACCGGGGAAGCTTTTAACAAATACCAATGCCTGGGCCTCTTCCCGGAACAAACCAGAATCTCTAGGGAGAGACCACGCATCAGTATTTTTTAAATAACCAAGGGACTCTGATGTCCACCCAAGGGTAAGTGCCACTATCAGAGCTGCTTAAGGAGTGCTGTCCTAGCAGATGTCACCACAGCAATAGGCACAGGACACTAGCCAGAGTTAATGGAACTCCCAGCAGCTCCATATAGTGGCTGTACATTAGTTACAAAAATGTTAAAAATGCATCTTAGAGAACTGAAACAATCTGATGTGGGAAATAAAATCATTAGAGTAAAACAGTAAACTCAAGCGACAGGAGCGCTCACAGAGCTGGTGGTTTACTGAGTGCTAAATAATCAGAGAGAAAAGACCTGCTTACAACCCCCACCTGCTTTCTTGACTTATGGGTCCCTTGCACAGCTGGGTGTTTGGGCCCAGCATTACCGGAGCTTTTTCTGTTCTTTTGCCTTCCACAAACTGGAGAAATTTTTTAAATTTCTGCCTCACCAAAAAAAAAAAAAAAAAAAAAATCAAGCCAAATAAGCAGTTCCCTGCCAAATCCCTTTCCAAAGTCCTACTCACTCCCCAGAGGCACACACTTTAAATTCTTTTTGCTTATGGTAATTACCTCTGTATTTTTAAACTAAATGCTTAAATTGCTATTTCTTGATTTGTCAGTTTTAGATATAACTTACAATACAGAAGACAACGAATGAACTTATACCCTTCTTCCTGATCCCAATCTACCAAATATAGTTAGTCATAATGTTGTTAGATATTCAGTATTTATTAACATTATTGACTATGTAAATAGTTATATACACTGAATCATATAGAACCTATTTCTTTTCCTATACACTTTAGTTTATACTATATTAACAGTCACTTTATTCATAGGCTATTTTTCTATATATCCATTACTAATAATCCTATCTCTTTACTAAAAATATGAATCTCCTTTTAAATGTCCAAATCCTTCAGGCAATCTGTCAGGTGAGATGTTCTTTTTGGAGTCTTTTCATTTTCTGCTTCAATCAGGACTATTTTCTAAGCCTCTGCACAGGTGTCATCCCTTGCCAGCATCCTTAGAATTTCCTTTGGTTTCTCTTAGCTGATTCATTAATTATTAGATTTCTTATCTTTCTCTGTCTTTGTGTATTCCCTGATCTTGTTGAAGCACATCCTCAAGGAACTTTATATACAATATACATGGGTTGTAAATGTCTGAGAAAATGCATGTCAAAATGTTTTATTTTACATTACTTTGGATATTCCTTAGACTTTTTTTTTGAGACAGGGTCACAACTCTGTCATTTGGCTAGAATGCAGTGGTGTCAAGCTCACTGCAACATCTAATTCCTGGGCTCAAGCAATTCTCCTGCCTCAAACTCCTGAGTAGCTAAGACTACAGATTACGCAACATGCTCAGCTATTTTTTTATTTTTAGTAGAGACGGGGTCTCACTTTGCTCAGACTGGTCTTGAAGTCCGGAGCTCAGCGATCCTCCTGCTCAGGTGGTCTCAAACTCTAAGCCTCAAGCCATCCTCCCTCCTTGGCTCCCAAAGTGCTGGTATTATAGGCATGAGCCAGCCACTGTGCTTGGCCTATTTTCTTTTTACTTTTTGTTTCAGAATTTGTTATAATGTCTAAGGTTTCATTAGTATAACTCTTGGGGTTCACGAATTTGCTAAATTGTGGGTAATGCCTTCATTAGATTTGGAAAAATTCTGGCCATTTTTCTTCAATACTACTGTTATCCTATTCTCTACTTCTTGGACTCCAAAAGCACATATGACATTTAACTATTTCCCACATTATTCTTAAGAGTTTTGTTTTAAACATCTTTTTCTTTTTCTGATGCAGTTTATATATTTTCTATGGATCTGTCTTCATATCCTACCTATCTTAAAAGCTATCAAGTTCTTAATTTCAGAAATCATTTTTATAGTTCTAAAACACTCATTTGTTTTCTTAACAAATTCTAGTTCTCTGTTGAAATACTCATCTTTTAACCATTTTGATTTATTCTTCCTCTATTTAACATATAGTCATAGTTATTTCAAGTCTGTGTGTAATTCTGATATATGAATTATCTATGGATCTCCTTTTTGGCTGTTATCTTTTGATTATTGATCATATCTGACTGCTACTTCTCATACATGGCCATTGCTGACTGCATGCTGGACATTCTTTTTTTTTTTTTTTTTTTGGACAGAGTCTCGCTTTGTTGCACAGGCTAGAGTGAGTGCCATGGCGTCAGCCTAGCTCACAGCAACCTCAAACTCCTGGGCTCAAGCAATCCTACTTCCTCAGCCTCCCAAATAGCTGGGACTACAGGCATGCGCCACCATGCCGGGCTAATTTTATATATATATATTAGTTGGCCAATTAATTGCTTTTTATTTATAGTAGAGACGGGGTCTCGCTCTTGCTCAGGCTGGTTTAGAACTCCTGACCTCGAGCAATCCACCCGCCTTAGCCTCCCACAGTGCTAGGATTACAGGCGTGAGCCACCGCGTCTGGCCTGGACATTCTTTATGACACATCGTAGAAGGTGAGTTACATATTTGTTCTCTAAGTCCTTACTGCTTCTTACAGACTTCCAACCAATTCTCCTGTCTTCTGTGTACTATTTGTCCCCATTTGGAGCAGTATCATATCCTCCGTCTTCTCAAGCTCTTTGAGGGTTATAAGGCATCAGCTTTATTCTGGGTTTCCCCTCTGTCAGATTCAGTCTATTGATTTATTTTGAGGTTTCCCCCTAATCTTTTGCTTTACAAATGATGCCACAATAAATACCCTTTTATAGATACATCTCTATCTACCCCTTTTAAATATAACTATACATAAATTTCTACACATGCATTATCAATTGACTGTTTTATATCTTAATGATATTTCTGTCCATAGGCAATAATAGGCTCCAGTGAACTTTTACTGCAAAGAGCCAGAAAGTAAATATTTTAGGTTTTGAAGGATCTATAGTCACTGTTGCAATTACTCCACTTTGACACCCTAGCATGGAAAGCAGCCACAGAAAATATATAAATAAATGGATGTAATTGTTTTAATAAAACTTTATGATAAAAACAGGCAGAAACTTTGGGAGGCTGAGGTAGGAGGATCACTTGAGATCAGGAATTAGAGACCAGCCTGGGCAACATAGTGAGACCCCCATCTCTACAAAATAAGAAAAATTAGCTACTAGGGAGGCTGAGGCAGGAAGATGGCTTAAGCCCAGGAGTTTGAGACTGCAGTGAGCTACGATGGCTCCACCGTACTCTAGCCTGGGCAACAGAGTGAGACCCTGTCTCAAAACACAAAGTAGACTGAATTTGGCCCATGTGTTATAGGTTTGCTGAATCATGGCCTAGAGAGTGCTAGAAAATGCTTAAATATACATATCCTTACCAACACTGTGCATTTATTAATTTTTGATATTTGCTAATCAAATGGATTAAAACAGTACATTTATTTTTCTTTGAATTTTCATGCTTTATGAGGGAGAATCAACTGTTTTGTTGTTTACTGGACATCTTTTGTTTCCTGTGAACAGTCCATTCATATCTGTTGCCTACGTTTATTAACAGCACTCTCTATTAATGAGTGTAGTCTTTTTCATCTGCCTTACCAATTCTCTTTTATAACTTACAAAACCTGTTTTGGAGATAGGTTTTAAATGTAATCACATATATATTTTGTGGCTGTGTCATTTTTAGAAAAGCTTCCCTCTGTTCATGTTTTCTTCTATTACTCTTACAGTTTACTTTATACTTTAACTCTTTGACCTACCTAGATTTTGTTTACAATAAGTAGTTAATCTAAATAGCTGCCCTGCCTCTGTGTTTTTGCAGTCCTGAGTCCAATGTATCTTCCACTCTGTGATAATGATTTCTGCCATATGCATACCTATGCTTCTTTTAAGACCCAGCTCAATAGTATCTCCACTATAAATAAGCTTTTCCCAACATCAACTCACCTGAACAAATTCACTTGTGTGTACCCACTGTACTCTATTTAGACTTCTACCAAAGTCAAAGTACCTAATAATTTTTGCACAGACTTGATTTCACATCAGTCTCCTTTTACTGTGCAACCACAGTGACAGTGTTGGCACATAGAATATGACCGTATGATGACTACATGAAAGAAGTTTAAAATATGGAATTCTAAAGTAAACTTGATAAGCAGACACTAATTACTTTCATATGGTAACTTAACTGAAGAAAAATTTAACCTTAAACACATAAATATTATTTAATAGAACTTATAGGTTTCTACAATGAAGGGGTTACCTGTAGATTTTACTATGGTTCTTAAACAAATTTTACCATCCCTTTAAGATTAAAAGAATTTAAGAAAACATAATGCTTCCTAGAACAACAAGAAAAGCATCACAAAATCTGTCATCATATCTATAAAGCACATATGGTGTCTTATAGAAAATCCATACTTACATGATTGCAGTCTGAAGAAATTTCATTTTCAGGCTAGGAGGAAAAAGAAAGAAGAGATGATATTAAAAAAAAAAAAAAACCTCTCAAGTTTTCAAACACCACTAAAATAAAGTCAAAACAAGAAATCTAAATATTCAACTAAGTATGTTTCTTCAACATAAGGAGTAAAACAGAGTTTATATATCTTTTTATTAGACTGTTGGGGAGAAATGTACCAGGAGGGTACATATGAGACGTAATTCATTCCCAATTAATGGTACAATATGAAAATGGGGAGAATGAAGAAGAACGTACTAAAGCATAAAGCAATAGCGACATAATGATCTCTATACAACACTTTATAATTCTGAAAGCTAAAGAGGATCAGGTACAATATGGGTGATGTTTCTTTAAAGAAAGTTAATATCTAAAAAAACAGGCTTATTATAGAGTGCAGAGAAGGTCCATCAATGATTTAAAAATTCGTCTAATGTCACCATTGGGGGACGCTAGGTAATGGGTACACAGGACCTCTATGCACAATTTTTTGGAAATTCTTGTGAGTCTGTAATTATGAGTCTATAATCTTATAAGTCTATAATTAAAAATAAATATTTTTTTAGAAACAGCTGGAAATTACATATATATCCCCATGGATACATTTGCTTTGTAAGGCCAGATACACATACTAGAGATAAAATGAACTTTCAATTTTATGATGGAAAAAAAGTTGAACTAGGTTTTACCTAATATGGCATAACTCTGCAAGACCCATCTACTTTACTTTCGTTGTTCAGTCCTTTAAAGGAGACATGATTGTAATAATACACACCACAATAAAGCACCACTTCCTCTGAGTTTCTACAGTAGTCCAACCTGTTCAAATGGAGTGAATTGTGTGAGTTCTATGAAATATTATCTATTTTAGTTGTAGTTGTGTCAATTTTAGTTGTAAAAGGTACCATTTTCAAAATAAAAATGTCTTCTATTCAAGGATAAAGCAATAAAATATGAGCAAATAAAGCTGGCACACCCAAGTATTACTTCAAGAAGGAAAGTATTTTCTAGGGAACTATTAATTCCACTGCACAATATAGTAGGCATTAACAACATACAAATTCATCCTTACATTTATAAAACATTATATTAAAACTGACTTTAATTAGGTTGCTAGGTAATCATAAGATTATAAACATACTGCCTTTGAACTTTCTCCCTACTTGTCTAACAGCAAATACTTTAATTTAGCCTTTCTGAGTCTCAGAAATCAGCCTACACACTATGAGTTAATCTAGCTTAACTCCACTTCAATTTGAAGTGCTTAACTTATAACTCATCGTAGCTTATTTACAAGAATGCCTTTACATTACTCAGGCAGTTTTCTACCCTATTTCCATTTAATCTATCCCTAAATTTTCCCAATCATTTATAGTTCTTTCTCAAACAACGCACAGAAGGCAATTAATATCACAATCTTCTCTACTTGTACTCATTTCTACTAAACAGCAACTTTGGATTAAAGGGGTGTTTTTGAAAGAAATTTAGAGCGTGGAAAATTTGTAAAATAATGGAGTCAAATGAGATATAAGCTACCCATTAAAAGAATAGTATTCTCATGTCTACAGTCCACAGGACCATATTGGCAAATTATGATTGTTTTAATGGTGTGCTTCCGTACAGTGGGAGACTGGATCATTCCCCTCAAATTTCTACTCTCCTTCTTTAAGATTTTATATCCAGATTCTTTGCCCTGTAAGTCTGCATTATCTCCTACTATAAACCGAGTATATACACTTTGCTCCTCTGATGCTGAGCTGGACCACTGACTTGCTTTGGCCAATGGAATTTTAGCAGACACAATATGAGCAGAGGCTTTAAATGTGCTTGGGTGGTTTGGCCTGTGTTCTTGTACTCCTGCCATTGCCCACAATAAGAACATGTTTGCTAACTGCTAGTACAAAGATGAGAGACATATGGAGCAGACCTGAATTCAACCTGTAGCCAGAAGCAATGGCATTCTAAATAACCTGTGTAGCCACAGAAAAGAAAAGTAAATATTTGTTATTTAAGCTCCTGCAATTTTAGGGTGCCTATTATGAAGAAAATATGACTCATATACCTATCCCAAACTTTTAAGTTGCAATAGAACACCTATGAGCTAAAATTAATAAATTATATTAGTAAGTACAGAGTACTATGCATTTTATGAAGGAATGAAATAATCTACAGAGACACAAATGAACTGCAAATCTGGCACAAGTGTCTGTTTTTCATTTCTTTTTTACTATCTTGATTTGCAACTATTATAAACTGGTCTTATTTTTTTCTTCTTAGATTTAGTCTCTCTACCCAGAAAGTTGACAATATAGGAATGCCAGGAGAACAAAGTTATACTGTTAGATCTTTGAGATTCATGGAACCAAATAGCTATGAAGAATTTCTTGGGAGGCCGAGGCGGGCGGATTGCTCGAGGTCAGGAGTTCAAAACCAGCCTGAGCAAGAGAGAGACCCCATCTCTACTAAAAATAGAAAGAAATTAATTGGCCAACTAATATATATAGAAAAAATTAGCCGGACATGGTGATGCATGCCTGTAGTCCCAGCTACTTGGGAGGCTGAGGCAGCAGAAGTGCTTGAGCCCAGGAGTTTGAGGTTGCTGAGCTAGGCTGACGCCATGGCACTCACTCTAGCCTGGGCAACAAAGCGAGACTCTGTCTCAAAAAAAAAATAAAATAAAATAAAAAGAATTTCTAAGTGTAGCTGCAAATAATTAATTTCAGAAATTTAGAAGGATCTTTACAATCAAAGAACTTAGTTGTGGTTCAGAGGAAGAGACAGAGACCTGCAAAATAAAAAACACAAAGTAGTATTTTATACTATTTTGGGAATGGTGGGAACATCAATAATGTCAGCATAAACTAACTCTAGAAAAAGAAAATGCTATAGTTTACCACTCAACCATTTGATAAAGAACTAAAGGAAAAAAATCTCAACAAATGAAAACAGATGTGGGTGCTGACTCAGGTTGGTTCTCAGACTGCAGCATTCTTGTCATCTCCCAATCAAATCATTTAATCAGATATAGCATATCTATTTTCACAAAATTGTAAATGCAGATAGGCGTGATTATCTTTAATCCTAGAAGATGAATAACATGAGGACTAAAACCCAGAATTACTAAAACAGAACAAGGCTGAGGCTTTTTTTCCCTTTTGGTAATAATCAGTAAAACAATGCTCTGGAATGATGACAAGAAATTAATCAAAAGGTATTGAATAATTATGCATTGTTGCAGTATACAAAGAAAGAGAAGACTTTATCAAGTCCCTGATCTCAGGTAGTTTATAATCCTGTTGTATCAATAAAACAGTGAAATCAAGTAAGCAAGAGTAGGGACTTTCAGAAGACCTAAAGAATTAGCAGAGTGATCTCCAAAGAGGAACGGAGTAATTCCTCCATCGAGGAAGTTGCACGATCCCCTGGGGCTCAGGAAGAACATAATATAATTTCTATTAAAGAAAAAGCTCATTCTCTAATGTATATTTTAAGTATTTTTATAATACATGTCATGTTAGAATAATTAATATTTTATTGATAAATATAAATTTATGGGGTATGCTTAATCATTTTTTCCAAGGCTGGGCACAGTGGCTCATGCCTGTAATCCTATCACTCTGGGAGGCCGAGGTATGAGGATCTCACCTGAGGTCAGGAGTGCGAGACCAGCCTAAACAAGAGCAAGACCCTGTCTCTATAAAAAATAGAAAAATTAGCTGGGTGCAGTGGTATACACCTGTAGTCCCAGCTACTTGGGAAGCTGAGTGAGGTAGGAATATTTCTTGAGCCCAGGAGTTTAAGGTTGCAGTTGCAGTGAGCTATGGTGACGACATAGCACTCTAGCCTGGGCAACAGAATGAGACTCTGTCTCAAAAAAATAAAAAATAAAATAATAATCTTTTTTTTCCAATGATAAGAACATGAACATAACAGAGCATAAAGAGCTGATATCCTTCTTCTAATCAGTTTAAGAGTCCTACCTTCACCCCCACCCTTCAAATCAGAGGCATAGCGCTGGCTCCGAGCCTGTGGAAGCCTCAGATTAGCAGCTGAGCTACCTACGCCTTGTTACCACCTGCCCTTCATCATTCTGGAGATAGTAAATAGAAACCTGGGCTTGAAAAGAAGGGCCTCTTACATCAAATCTTTAATCACTGGAAATAAAATAACTGTTCTCTTACAATGTAAAACAGAAAACAACTTTACAAAAAGCCTAAACCAGACGCAATAGCTCATGCCTATAATCCCAGCACTTTGGGAGGCTGGAGTGGGAGGATCACAGAGGCCAGGAGTTGGAGACCAGCCTGGGCAAGAGACATCTCCTCCTACAAAAAAACCTAGTAGTCAGCCAGCCATGGTGGGGTATGCTTATAGTTTTAGCTACTTAGGAGGCTAAGCCAGGAGGATTGCTTGAGCCCAGGAGTTGGAGATTACACTGAGCTATGATGACGACACTGCACTCTCGCCTGGGTGGCAGAGCAAGACCCTGACTCCAAAAAAAATAAAAATAAAAATCCTCATAAGTAGCTTTCTGATAACTTAATGATAAAATTTTTTAGAAGAGACTGAAGTTGGATATATTAGTATCAATAAAGAAGCTATTATGAAAGACAGAATGAATGATGCAGTGAACGAGGCAGAAAATGGGATAAAGCGCGAGTACTTTGAGATACCTGCCCGACTTCAATAATGTGATGGGTGTAGCAGGAAATGATAAAAGCTGCCATTTAACTGAGCTAGGTTCTACATTTCCTTCTTACAACATGATGTAATGCAAGATAAATGGAACTGTGTCCAATGTTTCAGATAAAGATACTGAAGTAGAGAGACTGAGTAACATGATCAAAGGTAAACTGCTAGGAAACAACAAAACTGCGATAATAATAAATGGCAACTAATGTTTACATGATCTTTTAGCTTGATGTCTCCCAAAAAAGGCTGGGTGGGTAAGTCAGGCTGAACACAATTCTGGGGGGAGGAGCAAGAAAAGGAAAGAG